CACACTGTGTCTTTAGCTTTCAGTCTCAAAGGTAAAACTCATGCTTAAACTTGTGAAATTGAGTCTACTCTAGGAGGTAAATATTTCAAGTCAACACAAATAATATCATTTTGAGGATTCTTTGCTCTATGTGTGACTGCCAACTGTTTGGGGATGGGTGTGTGCGTGTGCATGTGCATGTGATGGTGGGCAGGAAGAAGGCCGCAACTGTATTCTAGGTGGTGACCAAGCAGAGTCAGCTTTGGCAGAATAGAACTCAGCTATAGAGCATAATTTGAATTCTTACTAAAATAATCTGAACAGTGCTGGCCATTTCTTCTAGAAATTGCAGTGCTCATATCCCTGGAAAGCATAATAATGTAAGTAATTAGAAGCCACTAACATTGATGGGGTTGGTTTATTAACTAGTCATCAGCTGGTCCTGGAGGAGATAGAGTAAGAATAACATATTTAGATAGAAAATTGGGCATCAAATATATTCCAGATTGGAGAACTTGGAAGTTTTCCATGCATGTCTCCATTTTGAATTATATTAGTGGATTCTATGTTCTATAACCACTTCCTACTCTGTTCTCAGACAAACACAAACAACCAGATACCAACTTATTACCTAAAACCACAAGGCCCAAACTCTTGATTTTCTTATCACAGTTTATTGTTGTTCATTTGAGGTACCATACTACTATCAGAATTATATCCAGGTTTTTTATTAAAAAAAAACTCAGAGAAAAAATGTTTCTAGTAATTTTCATTCAATGTGAATGACAAGAATATTATAGCTTATAAACATTGAAATAACCATTTCATTTCTTCCTAGGAAGTTTCATATTTTAAGTAATGAAAAAGGAATTCTACACAAAGCTAGTTTTAATCACATTCTCACTCAGTCTTTTCTCATGTGTATTTATGTTACTTTCAGAATAGCATAATAACCTGCTGGAGTGTAAATATAGAAAGCATTCATGTCCTCTAGAATTTGATGTTGTCTCCAAGGTACACTGAGTGGTCAAAATCCTTTCAAAGGTTTGCTGCTATAGGTGGCATAATAGCTGTAATGTGAATGAGTAAATTTTGGTATTATATCCTTTCATTAGACAAGGATGCAGTATGTTTTCAACATAATCTTAAGGTCTGAGTTGTTCAGCTGACTCAGCTTACCTAGACAAAATTATGCCATTAACAGCATTGTTTAGAATTTTAAATATACATCTCATCATTAAAACATAAGTGTATCAGTTTTTCTTTGTGTTTTTTTTTTTATCAGAAATGTTGTCAAAATGAAACATGATACTGTATGTAGCTACTAGGGTCCATTCTCACTACGTTTGACCCTATATGCCAGTTTTCTTAAATTAGTGGAAAGACTATCTTCATTTTCCTAGCATGTTGTACATGTGCTGTTTCAAAACAGGCAGCAGTAAGCATGGAGACTGAATTTGCCATGTTGTCCAAGAGACTGTTTTTTCTCCAATTCTTTCTGCTGGTTTAAAAATTAGTGTATCATTTGGGTATATAAAACTTATAAAAATTATAACTACAATGTCATTTAAAAACTTTATAGTAAATTGACAGATCTCAAAATTTGTTTTCCAATTACTGAATGACTAGTAGAGTTAGTTTACTCACATTATAGTGACAATGAAAATATTTGGGCTATAGATTTTTCTTGTATATCTTTTTTTATCTAATCACACTATTGAAAACACTTTATAAAGGCTTACTTATGTAATCATAGCAGGGAATTTACTTACTACTTAAAGTTTTATGTCTATGGTACATTTAAAAATTAGGTAAATATAAGCACAGGAAATAAGTATGGCATTCATTTTTTTTAATACTTTACTAATCATATAATCATTTAAAAATATAACTGTAAATATATTTTAAGAACCATCCCTGGCTCATCTTTGTACTTCCTTTATTTAATTAGTAGATAAGCCATAAATATAACTATGTTCTGCTGTCTTCCATGAGAGTGATGTATGAAGTATTCTAAAAAAATGGAACTTGACCCTGCTTATTTTTTTCTGCCTTGTATTAAAAATATCATTGCAAATGTCAGATTCAGAATCATATATTAATTTGTTTTTGTTGTAAATCTCTACATTACACAATTCCATTTTGAACTATCTGGTAGTTTTCTATAATTTAAAAGTAAATAACCTAACATACCACCTAGAGAAACTGTCAGTTTTTATTTAATAGATTTTGTTCTGGGGAACATAAAAAAAAATTGTTCACATTTAAAAGTCAGTCTGTTTCTGAACATGACACGTACCTCAGATTCTATGCAAGTGTGTCTGCAAAACCCGTGAGAAAGACAAGAGTAGATATGTAGCTCACAGAAAGGGAATGTAAGTTTTCAATGATGTACCTTCAGACCCTACAATTTCTCCCCTATACAGGATTTAGTCTGTATACTTTACATTATTATTAACTGTATTTCTATACTCAGTGCCTTTCTATTTACCATTCAGTGGCTTTACAACATATCTTTCAGTATAATGATTACATAATGACTACAGAAGAATTAGTAACTTTTACATAAATGCACTGAACTCTGTTTTGGAAGTCACTTTTTTCTGCTATGGCACTTAATTGTATTTGATGCGGAGAAAGCTCATATGTAACTTTTCCACTCTGACCTAGCACAAATTATAATTTATAATTCTTTCTAAATACTTCTGTGGATTTATATTTTGGCAAGTATTTTTCATGGGTGCTATGCCTTTGACATTTTATGCTACATTGTGATATTTATTTTGCTTCTTGTTTTGTAGGACACTTTATAGAATAAGTAAGAAAACATTGTACAGGCAAACAGTGTTCTAAAAATCTACAGAGACACAATCTTAGTTGATATATATAAAAGTGTAAATATTACTATGAAATGGAACAGTTCTGCATTGTATTTGATATTTATATTGGTTGCAATTGACTTCCACATGAGTGCACAGTAGTCTACAATCCCACAGGCTCTGATATGGGTAAGAGAAAGGCCATAGGCCTCAAGACTAGTAACAGATATTTTTCTTTTTTCATTTTTTTCCTCATCATCCACATGCCAGCACATGGAAGGAGCTTTATTCTCTTTTCTCATTTGAAGAGGTATATATATATATATTTTGAGAGGGCATCTCTCATATTTATTGATCAAATGGTTGTTAACAACAGTAAAATTCTGTATAGGGGAGTCAATGCTCAATGCACAATCATTAATACACCCCA